TGCGGACGATATTGTCTTACTGTGCGATAATGCCCAAGGCATGCAATCCGCACTTAATCAGTTGGCAATCAGTGTCCGTAGGTATGGTATGTGCTTTGCACCTTCGAAGTGCAAAGTACTTCTACAAGACTGGCAGGATTCTAATCCTGTACTCACCCTGGATGGTGAGCAGATAGACGTAGTCGAGAAGTTCGTGTATCTGGGTAGCTGCATAAGTGCTGGTGGGGTGTGAGTGATGAGATCAATGCACGTATAGTGAAAGCCAGAGCGGCTTATGCCAATCTGGGCCACCTTTGGCGCCTTCGTGATGTTAGTCTGGCTGTAAAAGGTCGGATCTACAACGCGTCGGTGAGAGCAGTTTTGCTCTATGCTTGTGAAACCTGGCCTCTCCGAGTTGAGGACGTTAGACGACTCTCTGTGTTCGATCATCGCTGTCTCCGAAGGATTGCTGACATTCAGTGGCAACACCATGTCAGTAATGCAGAGGTTCGGCATCGTGTGTTCGGGCACAGAGATGATAATTCAATTGGTGTCACCATCTTGAAACACCGACTTCGGTGGCTTGGACATGTTCTCCGAATGTCGTCCCAGAGAATTCCACGTCGTGCATTATTTGCCGACTCTGGGACTGGTTGGAAGAAGCGGAGAGGTGGTCAGTGCATGACATGGTGTCGTGGTATGAAAGAAAGCTGCAAAGGACTGGCTTGTGTTGGTCCTTCACGACTCCCTGGTTGGGGTCTGAGAGATGGTGCTACACAGTGGCTAGAGACGTTATCAGATATGGCTCAGAATAGAAGCCAGTGGCGATCCTGCTGTAACCTTCTTTTACTTTCTTCATAAAAAGTGGTTGTGTCTCCCTTAACTGAAAGATTTCTTCTGATTGTACCTTTCCGTTCCCTCATTATTGCTATTATTATTACTACACTACCTTACACCAACCTCTTCGTTATTGTTCTCTTTTTTTTCACGCTCCATACATTTTTTTCTTTCTTTCTCTTCGAGTTCTCATTGTTTTGTGTGGAGCATATATATTGGCGCTCTCTTGTATCAATATTTATGTGTTCAAATAAATAATAAGAGTGGCGAGGCAGACAACTTGATAATAGCTACAAAATCAAGGCATAGAATCGATAATGTGAAATGACCTAGAAAAATTGACAAGTACGCGGATAATTATAGGTAACCGCAGTTTGAAAAACGGTAAATATTCGTCCAAGCTACTGCTATTTTATGTTTTTGTTCGCGCATTCTTAAAACTTAGAGAAAGTGGATAACTGAGTCAATTTGAAAAAAAAGAATAACACAGCTCACTAACCTTGAGTTAGTCGCACAGTATAATTCAGAAAGTATTTAGATGATACTTAAACACATATTTTAGAATGATCTGAAAGTCTGTAGAGATGAGAATATAAGTAAGAAAAATGATACCTCTTCTACTGTTAGACATAGAGTGAATGTTCTCCGACAAAAGTAATGTATACAACTCATATAACTACAATTAATTTCTACTTTTGCATTCCTATGAATATTTTTTACATGGTATATAGTTTTCTGGGTGATTCGAATGAATTGTAAGTCAACAGCAGCTTTTCCGAATTTATTTAGGACTTCATATTCAATGAAATAATGATCAGATCTATCCGTCGTTAATATGAAGATCAAATATGACTTCAACGAATAATCTACTATCACCCTCCTTATAAATGAGTATCATTCTGATTGAAATAGTGCAATTACGCGTACCCAAAGTGTACAATTTTTAGCCTCTTCTGTAATGAACACTATAACTGTGAAAGTAATAACACAACAACTGAAGTTAAAAATTCTGCACTGTTTCATTTATTCAGTGAACGGAACTGAAAATGACAGTTTACTGTCTTGAGTGCAATTTACATCAAACATTTAAGGTTTCATTTACGTACGTAATTAACCAGGCAAGGTAAAATCTGTAGTGAAACATGAATATGTATGCATATCTATACAAATTTGAAATACTTTTTGTTACGAATTAATACTATCTGCAAAAGCACTAAAAAAGAGGAAACCGTGAGAAACTATGTAGTCTTGGTGGCAGTCATTAATCGCGATCCTAGTTCATTGTTAGCAGTAAACCGCAACAGTGGATTTTATTTATCAGAGTTTTAAATAATATTGAATCTTGAGTTATGGTCACGTGGATATGCGAACAAGAATTTTTTTTTCCTTCGAAGTTAACAAATTTAAGCATAAATTTTCATTGTATCCCAATAGTTAATCCATTCACGCAGTATTTCGGAGAGGAAACAATACAGTAATAACTTTTTTAAGATAAGTTAATTTAATGATCACCCTTAGTAACAATCTAAAGGAACGACAGGAACCGATCACTCAAATTTAGAAAATCAATTCTAATGATGAGACCAACAATATAAAAGAACTTTCTTCTCTCCCTCTCTCTCTTCAAACAGTTGAGGAAATTATGTGCACGAAATTGACAAGAAAAGCCTAATCATTGTCAACAATCGCTTTTGCAACACACTTAAGTTATATTTGAAAAGATATTTTAAGAAAGATTGTTTCAAATGTATTGCTTATTGTAGTTTTATAAATCTTGTCAAGGGGTTGAAAAGCCGACATATGTTTCGACTGAGGTTTATCATTTTTCAGTTGAAGCTTGAATGTATACTTAACAAGATTCTATGTCGATAGATTGATATCATTATGAGTTCTAACACTACAATGTATAATTATGTCTAATATAATATACATGGTCTTCAAAAAAGAGTAAATTCTAAACTTCTGAAATAGATACATAGAGGTAATCAAAAGGAGAAAAAATCATTAGAAACTAGTATAGAATATTTGTTTGTAGTTTGTATCACGAAGTAACTTCAGCTAAACAACCACTGAAACCAGGTGGCACTCTTATGACTATGTGCTTACCAGCGACTAACTTCAAGAAGTATTCTTGAAACTTTAATGATAAACCGTGACCAGTAGAATATAACCATGTCAGGAGTGAAACAAATATCAGCCCTAGAAATTCATGATATCACATCAACAACTGACTAAAGTTGGACACATGAATGACCAGGATAAAGTTTAAGCACTCGCCTCGATACGTCCTGCTTTTAGTCCTTTATTGAAAACACTGTTAGTGAGTCACACAAGACGATGAAACAGCTACTCAATGCTCTATGGTTCCGATGGTTTTCTTACTGAAGTCACCTCATATAAATTAAGTAGAATGATGAAGAAGATTTGTAGCTTAAACAGATGCTTTTGGTGGTTGTGTATTCTCCAAACTAAACATGTTAAAATAGAACCAATCTATCAGTCCATACAGAAAAAGTCTATCAGTCACATAATCAGAAGGGACGTTAAAAGTAATGAAAATACAAACAAAAACAACATAACCTATTATGACAACCACCAGAAACAAGACCAGAATGAATCTATTCAACTCCTGTGGAATAACCGAAAAGATAGCTTCTAAACTAAGTAAGCACTTATGATGTTGAGGAGAACATCAATGAAAGCTTGACAATTAAACCATCTAGCTCAGGCAACACAACACCAAAATATGCTAAGTGAGATATTAAACGAATAAAACTTGATGGTCGTTCAGGATAGTTTAAATTGGAAGGAGATCAGTTCCACTGTGGATTAACATTATCTAGAAGGACATATATGGAGTGAGGGAGTACTATGTACCAAAAATAGTGGATGTCTGTCTACCCACATTAAGATTAATCGAAGTTAGAAAGCATGTTTAGTATTGTAATGAAGGAAGACAATCGATAGGGGGGCAAGCTTAGTAAAAGCTACTCAAAGGTTTGTTTGTAAGTAGTGTGTAGCGGAACGTGGCATCGAAACTTGAAGCAATCGTGGGACGGAGTGAAGAGTTTTGGTGCATTGAAAGCACGGCGTCAGCATAACACGCGGAGAATAGACGAGAAGACGGTTCAGATTGCAGAACACATCGGAAGATGCAAATGGAAGATTGAAAGCTGTGTATATGTATTATGTAAATAGTTTGTAACTCCTAACAATTGTCGGGCATTGTAGTATCATTACTTCAGTTCATTGTTGGAGATCTTATAGTACTGGAAAGACAACTCTGCGAGGGGAATGTTGTTCACCACCTCAATAGTTCAATTAGAACGAAATAGCTACTTGGTCTTTCTTGTTTTCAAAATGTTATCCATCTCATGTTAGTCTGTGTTGAAAACAACGTTCGTATATGATACTGAACGTACAACTTGACAACTGAGTGTAGTAAGTTAGCAGGTCAATCTTATTGCATTTGAAAAATTGTGTATAATTCAGAAATTTCATCAGTAAATATTATCTCCCGAATCTTAAACTAGCTATCATCCGTACATGGAAATTTTTACCCGTTATGGTTAACCTCAGTATTAGTGGTAAACAACATGCCCTAAAACTACGAATATATTATTGTCGTGATTCACAGTGGAATCGTAATATCTAGAAAATATAGAAATTCATATTGTTTTTTTATAATTGGCTTAACTAGATTCTTTAATCCGAAACTGCAGTTCCGGACACAAAGTACAAAGATCGAAACATTATTATGTTTAGGGATGAATTATGAAAGGAAGGGGAGTATTTATCAAACATACCACGTACTACTTGTTGACAGTAAGTAATATGATTTGAGTAATGAAACATGTTAGTTGTCAAGGTTCGCATTTATCAAGCTGGACTTCTCGTACCACTAACCCCAAATTCACCGTCTTCTTCAATCTTGTTTTGTGCCTTCATTTAATACAAAAAGACGAAACGATTCTTGAGTCATGCACAACAAAGAATGTGTACTCATGAACCTTGTTGCTGGAACTAGATTTAATGTAATTTGGAAATTGACTACATGAGTCAGTCAAGTTTATGAAAGACCGATAAGGAGGGACAGTGATAAGAAACAAACAATACAAAAATCAGAGCATTACAAAAAGTGCAAGAATATACAGGTACTCGTAAAAAGTATAACTAGCATTTACTTGTCCATTCTGAGAAATTTGTATACCCAATTCTTCAGGATCAAGGGCAACAGGGCGGTTTAGTTGCTCGGTAAACAGTTGGTTTGACCCTGATGCAAAATTTCTTTCATGTGAGGATGGTGGGAAAATATCAGGATTTTCGATTTCAGTAAGAGGGTTCTCAAGGCTAGTGTTATTGACTTTAAACAAATTCTTTTGTCCTATTTGTTTCATCACGATAGACGGCGTAATCAGTTGACGACCCTGAAAAAACCACGTAAGTTGAACACTATCGAGATTAAGTTGTGAGTTAACTCGGCATTTTATTTCTCCTCTTCGTCCTTCTTCAAGAGCGACAGACACTGCAACACCAGCCACAACTGCTGAACCAGAATCCTCTACATTAGATGGGGGTAATGGAATGAAGTCTGCCAAAAGCCTAGGTCTGACATCTACAAAGACACTAGCTGGAAGGGCTGTAGAACTAGGGTGTGTGTTTCGACATGTATACTGGCCACTATCTTTGGCTTGGAATTTCTGAATAACCATCATAGTTATCTGAATAAAAAAAGAAAAGTCAGTTCAAATGGTAGAACACCGAGTAATCGAAACATGATTGTTAATATTATAAGGGAATCTCACATGAATATCATCATGATCCACGTAATAAAAGACTACTTCACTGAAGTAAAATTAAACTAACAAAACAAACCTATCAAATAATTTGAGTTATTGAAATAAATGTATAAAATTTCGCAATGTTTGTGGAAAACTACTGAATGGTTTCGGAGACAACATTGACATAGAATTGCCAAAAGTGGTGAAAGCGAAAAAAGGACTATTTATAGGGTTGACTAAATATAGTGCAAATATGCAGACAAGCTACAAAAAGAGAAAGCTGATAAGTTTATAGGGAGAGATTTTTCGACGAGGAAAATTCATGTCATAAAAAATACAGTTCTAACTAAATAAATAAGCTGAGTGATAAAATAAAGACTTAAACCACGAAATAAAATGCCAACAATAGCGTTCTTGTGAATAATAAAATCAAACATCATGGTGATTATCGCTTCATAAAAGGGAAAGGAGTTTCAGTTTGCCTTTATTTCAAGGTTAGTTAATGAATTCGAGTGGTTGACATTCTTGCTACCAACTCAGTCGGAAGTGTAGACGTTAAATCTTCTATACGCTTTCCAGACTAATGTACTTTAGCACCTAAAATGAAGTTGTAAAGACAATTTCACGCTCAAAAGGATTAAAAAGTTCCCGTTTTGGTTGTTTCAACTAGGTAAGTTTATCAAATAAAGAACTTCGGTGACTCAGCAATTTTTCTTCATCGTGGCTTTTGATGTAGAATCACATCTTAAGTAATTTTTTCGCCCTGCAACTCGTGTTAAGTTGTGATGAAGTGTGATGAGTGCTTTAAGACTAGAGAATTCCATCAAGTCTTATCACAGCTGTAATGATAATACTCTATGGGTGAGTATTTTCCAAGTATCCTGTTACTTAAACACACGAATTTGTTGATATAACCACACTTCATGATATTAGATATGGCGAAATAAATTGGAAAAATATCCACTGAGATGTTTTCCAGAGTAAGTACTTGGATGTACTACTGGCTCAAAAGTTCTGTATCAAATAGTTTCCTTACAAGAAGATCCTTCTGAAAATCAACGCTATATCCTGGAGCTGTTTGTAATCATTAGCAGAAACTTATCTGTGCTAGTGATGAGAAATTATCTAAAACTGAACAGTTGTGTTACATTCAGGGAGAACTAGCTCATAAAATTAAATTTTACTAAGCTTTCTGAGTTATAATCACTAGCTATCTTACTTTAGAAGCATTTCTAATGACGTCAATAATAATATACATTTAAACCAACGTGTTTTGAGTGTATACCAGAAAACGGTGTATTATTCATAAGCAATAAAGCACAAATCCAGCCAACATAATTATCAGGTTTTTAATCCTCAATCATCGTCTCTTATCACATTGGGTTACGAAGTTAAAAGTTCTAGTGATCGCTAACTTCTGGAAATCAGTCGTAATGTTTTCATACGACCGGTTTAACCTGTAACTTACATTGTCAGAGAAACCTGTTTGGCTAATCGGCGTGCTAATTAGGTGAAAATGTTATACATTACATCTCAAAGTATATAAAAACAGATAGTTTGGCACAAAATAATGGAAAACATACCAAGTGATCTTTTGAGTGAAAATCAGGCACAGAATATGCAGTGTGTTGATTATCAGATATTGGGTTAGAAAAATAGTTTACTAATTCTTTTCCATCCGGGCTATTCCATACAAGTTGCTCATGATCATGACCATTACTTTTACCTGGTACACAACATATTAGTGTTACCCGACCTCCTTCTGTAACTAAACGTCTTTGTTCCCCACCGATAATGGAAACTTTGTCACGACTACTGCAAATGTTTTTTGTTCTAAGGTAAAAAGATGTTTCTAATCTTTGGCATAAACACACAATGATTATTAGTGGAAGCAGTGTGTGGTGTTCCATATTTTTGCCAGCTGAAATCAAAAACAATTAGACGAATGGAGAATATTTGTCGTTTAACAAAATAAATATACTGATGTGATTTACCTCAGTGATAAACATTATAAAACACCTAAAATACTTAAAAATAAACTGAATTATCTGTTCGTTTGACAATTTGCGAAATTGTTTTAAGAAACATATCGACTTATCTTAAGCACGAAGGTTAGAAAATACTAGTCATAATCTCATACAGCAAAGTGGACAACAGCACTTTGACAAGCCGACTGAGGATTTGAGTTGAGAGCAACAGACATACAATATACTCGTTTGCTTTTCTTTTTAACGCAACAGAACAGATAATTTGTCACCTAATATTCTGAAACCTAATTACTTACAGACATACTTGAAATAGTGTATCAGAATAATGCTGCACATCTGTTTACTTGAATTGAGCCGCAGAATCAGTTTTAAAAATTAAAAAATGTGATTGCCCAACAATTGGCCACATAAAACCCAAACTCATTTAGACCAGTTTGAACGAATTCCACTTTATTTCCGGTATAGGCACCTGTTACATGTTTTAGATATTTCAGTATCTAGTATTCGAGCCACGATTTTTCCAAAGGTATCTTCCATTTTGTAAAATAAATGGCAGCAGCTATAATTACAAGTCGTGTATGCATGTCAGTAGAAGAAGCCGAAAAGATTTATCGGTGTATACAATGAATGACTATGAAATTGAAAGGAAACCTTAAACATTCGGCTTTCTTAGGTTCTCAGTGAATATATCTGTGTTTCAAATTTTCACACCATGCTAGGTCTCTGAAATAATAAACATTATAACTGAAAATGGGGTCAGTGAGGACAATCCAATTTTAGTTGTTGAACGCCGGAATGATGTGGTCTCGTCCGTTGTAATAACTACTGACCTACTTTTGAAAACAATACGTCTGATAGTAAATGATGTTAAAATTGTGTGGAATACCACTAGCCATAAAAACAGTCTACAGTGACAGGTAAACAGTCAAACAGATATTAAAAGTATACAATAAAAAGTATTTACGTCTCATAAATTCCGATTCTGAATGCTTTTGAAAATTAACAAACTATCATCTGCGCATCAGCAAATAAACACAAAATAAAATAACGATAAAAAATTATTGCAATGTTATTACCGATAACTAATGAAAATCATTTAGCTTTACATTAAGCTATTATTATAAGATTTACAAATGGTTCAAATGGTTGTGGACGGAATAGAAGAAGCTTTCGCTTAACAGGCTTCCGTGTCTAGTAGCAGGGGATCACCAAATCCTCCAGGCAGGAACCTAGGTATGTTAACAATAAAAGAGGAAAAGAAATTGGTAAATCATAGTGTGATGCTGTCCTTGTTCCTTAAGAATAGGTCAAGTTGCCTCTTGAAGGACTCCTGAGAAGTCGCTTGGACTAGCTCGGCTGGCAGCGAATTCCAGATTTTGACAACTCTTAAGGAGTAGAAGTTGTGTCTACATCCCGTCTTGCTATGTTGTGTTTCCAGTTTCTGGGTGTTACCCCTTAGGTTATTATTCGAACTAAGCTCAAGTAGGTGTTTAAGAGGATGTCCAGAAGTGTTTAGAATACTATAAGCCATTAATAAGTCACCTCTAAGACGCCTATACTCTAATGGGTAAAGGTCTAGTGAATGGAGGCGTTCTTCGTAAGGAAGTAAACACGTTGCGACTTTATTTTAGCTCACTATTCAGTCGAGTATTGCTAGGTTATCTGAACTTTTTTGTTAGTTGGATGCCTTACTGTTTAGTGGATTTGAGTTTTATGTTTCACACAATGGCTTTAATGCATTATTGACATGGAAATAATAATCGTCCTAATAGAGTACTACAAACTTTGTTATTAAACGGTGAATAATGTACATATGTCATTGAGGTTTAGCAAATATGGATGGAAGTGAAACAGTCAAGACTGCTCTACGGAAAACGAAAAAATAATAAACACAAAAAAGCAAGTCAAACTATCGGACTTTTATGAGTGCATTCATAGAAAATATTGGCCCAGCTAAACAAGTTCTCATTTACTTTGATAATGTGAAGCTTCATTCGATTTGGAGTCTTTATTCGTCAGCATTCACTCATTTGTATGAAACTTACACAGAAAATTTTATAACACTGAATATATAATATACCGAGTAATTGTAATTGACTCCATCATTATCGAATGGTTATGGTTGTACTGAAACATGTATACTGCTTAGCTTCATGTATCTCCTGTCTACCTATCACATTATTACGGGCCGCATCTGGGACATACATATTTCAGACATCATGTGAACGGACAAGCTCAGCTAGTGAATATTGAACTGCAGTCAAGAGGAGCTGTTAATGCCTAGCCAGTGAGTAGTGGGTAGGCTAATCCTGATGGAAATGGATATTCTAAGAGTCGTAGGTGACTAAAATATATACGACAGGTCTACATAAGTTCGGAAAACAAGAAAATTGTAGTAGTTGGCCCTATGTCGAGCCCACATAGGTTATTCTATTTTCTGAACAGACCAATCTATTCACTCTTCCTAAATCACACCTAGTCACTCATTCACCTATCAGCCTTGACTGTTTTTGTTGTATGCGTATATTTGTGCATTTCTTATCTGACCCATCACATGTCCTTAATTTATTTTTGTCTGACCATCAATATCCACTAACGCCTAACTAAATCTGGTTGGCTCACACGCCTTCTCCAATCTGTTTCTCTTCGGTCCGTCTCTCCTATTATCCGTTCTTAACAGTGATTATACAAAATATACGTATTCAATATCTCATTCTCCTATTTAACTTATTTGATTCCATTGTTCACCGATGCGATGTAGGTCGATGATTATGAACGGGAATTGGCGATATATATATATTGATAACAATCAGAAGCGATCTATCAGGAGCCAGACATAGAGCTACTAAAAAGCGTTCAAAGTTTATGGTAAATAATTAACAAGCCCACATATGTGTAAATGGCCAAAGAGAAATACACCAAAATGAAGGTAGACGTGTATGCATAAAATACAATAATAACGTTATAATTGGGTGTCCGAAGGTGATCAAAAGGTCACAACAGGGTCTTTCCTCTTTATTCGTGATACGTTTGTAAACTTAACTGTTCACGATCCAAAAAATGAAGGATTTATTACCTGTTTTTTTTGTTCTATATCCGACATCATTTTGACCAGCCGTTGTAATCTAGGTGACTTCTTCGTGCTCGCTTATTGGTGTTACGGTATGGTTTCATGACTTTCGTACCATCTACTGAGAGTATAATAGCCTTCAACTCCTCCAGTCTCAGTAAACCCATCATTTTTTGTGACTTGGTATATTCTGAGTACATGTAAATGAATATTTCCTAGGGTAGTTGGCTTTCTAGAACCACCAGTCATTACGTTTTGAGACAACAGATTGACTGGCTGCAATATTGAATTTGCAACATAAGGATTCAGAAGAGCAGAGAAAATGCCAAAGGTCAGGAGAAAGTTATTTAACTAAACGAAAAAAATAAAATAGAATATAGGAATAAACGTAAACGGAGGTAACCAGTAGTGAAATTTGTAGAGTAGGTTATTATTAATGGAAAAAATAGCAATAATAATATATGACAAAAATAATGACGACAGATAAGTTGTCAAACCTCATTCAGTCTGAAAATAATTGTGTTGCGGTAAATCCCTTAGTTCTTAGACATTGATGCTGACCTCACTAGTTTTACTGGACATCCAGGGTTGAAAGCGCTGAGCGAGGCACTCTCAACGAATCGGGCTACTCATCTCTTACAACAACTAGTCAGTTTAGACGGTATTCTTCTCGACAAATCGACTATTTTCTACATGTATCTTCGTGCCCTCATTCCTCACTTGATTTGACTGGGTTTCGGCCCCCTGATTATAGAGGTGCTACAGACAAAAGCGTTGTCGAACCCTGAAAAGCCTCAACATATTTAGTGGTGAGCTTGGTACGATCTGGTTCGTCAAAAAACAAAATGTGGGACCATTCGTTTGTGCAGCGTTATATATATATATTTACATATCGTGACGCTATTTTTGTTGCCCGTTTTTTGCATATGTATATGTTTTATCAATATTATGTTAAAATAGACATTGAAATATTTGGAAGTTAGAATTCTTAATCCCCACCTTTATACTCATCTCGCTCTGGTCTGATAATATGGGAATTTGGTCCTGCCACAGAGAACTGGACTTCGACAGGCTCGGCGCAGCAGAATCACGTGTACAAATCGTCACAGTATTGAAGGCACCACCACTCAAGTTCAACGGACTAGTCAAACACGGTATGCTTGCTAGCGGTATTTCTGAAACTCATGGCACGAGAAATAGATCTATCTGAAAGAATGAACTGGTATTCACATTTATAGACTATGTTTATTTAACATACATACTGTAAACCAATAAATGTTGTAATTTGTAGATCATGCATGTAAAAATGGCGTGTACCTGCCCTTGTAGAAATGTATTATTTCCCTTAACTGATCGACAAAGGTTAGAACAGTTATTCCATAATGCCTAGTTGCAAAACGGCTTGCCAATAAAGTTGATGATTCATATTTGAGAAGTTATTGGCCTACAGCAATCCGATGAAGGCCTTTTCGTTTCATTCCAAAATAACGACGTGAAATAAATAGCTGTCTGCAGACCAGATTCTGGAAGTCCCCATAACCCTCAGCGAAGACGTTTGTCCTCTGAAAAAAGGTATCGGTTGACTAAAAATTAAAGAGCTCCGTAATAATCGCACCAGTTTTCCTGGCATTCGAAATAATCTCAGATGATCCAGAAAACCTCAGAAAGTCCATCTCGAAAAATAGACAACTCTTACTGACCCTCATGCTGTAGAAAAATTGTTTCTCAAACCTACGATCATTGGAGCCGAAAATAAGATCAGTGAGAAGATTCACTTTCGAAATCTACACGGAGAAAATCCGAAATGGTGAAGCCAGGAACGCTTATTCCGTACAGAATGATTCAGGCATGCATGCGTAGTCACTTTATGTAGCGTTTTCTTTTTCGCATTAGTTATACTATTCTGTCACGTGCCTAAATATGTTCTTCACTATATTACTGACGCATACTATAGGACTAGTCAGAATGAACACGTAAGATCTTAAAAATTGGGTTGTCACATCAAGTCAAGTATATAATTAGCGATTGTGCCTATTATTCTAGTAGCAAGGATAAATGCAGTTAGTACAGACATAGACATCAGTATCACATTGGTGAAACCGACTAAAAAAGCTCATCGTGTTATTAATTCTCATATTCGCCCACTCTATCGGTTAATTTTCACTTACGTTAATCCATTATTCCATTAGTCTGTTGATGGATGCTCACGTGTACGGTTTCATCGTAGTGTTGGGTAGTGATCGGACCTAAATAACTAGCTCAATAGATAAAAAACTAATTACCTAAGATTAAAATCGGCTGTCACGGTTCTTTAACAAGCATTGACAGCATTTAAATTGTACACCTAACAAAGGTAAGACTCGATCAGCTGTTCACTATAAATTCATCTCCCATTATTCTCTACAAACCATCCTCAGCAATTTTTTTGCTGTTTGACCGCTTTGTGCATAATTCTTTATTGCTAAGTTCCATGATTAAATAGAAAGTACGAATATCAGAAGTTTATGTTAAGATTAAACCTCAAAATTTGCTCCAAACTAAAATTTTGTCTAGGTTGTTCGTCATGTAAACTCTATCTATTTGGCTTACAAAGGTATGGATGTATATCAACCAAACATACAAACGTATGCTAACTCAGTAATACGGCATATTTGATCCAGATTCTCTTCGATTTATGTTGATATGATAACTAATTAATTAATGATAAATAATTAAATAACTGCTGAAGTAACTCAGGGTAGTTTCATGGTTGCACTAGATAGATTTGTATTATATTTCTCATGCTTAATAATATTATGCAGTTACTTTAACACTGATTGACCATATGTTACATTACAGCCGTCGAGTCGCGGCTGAAATCGTGTATATTTATTTTATGTAAGGCAACACTGTATGGATATGTAACAGCTTAGGTTGGTTGGTTAAGAGTTGACCCCAAACAACCAAGCATATGCTAAAACAGCATTGTTCAAGTATTCACAGACTTCCTTATTTTGCATAAGCGTTATATCTCCTATTATCCTATATTGAATGTTGAGAGGCTTTGTTTGTCTAATTAAATAATCCCACGCTCCACTGTGACTGCGCGAAGATCAAAATAAAGATCTATTAACTACTTGTCTGGTTTCTTCTATCAATAGCACGAGGGTTACCTTAAGGCACGAAACTGGCGAGTCTTTTTTGAACACAAATTTAACCTCATTTCTGTTATTAACATTTTTTTTACTTAATCGTAAAAGTAGACCTGATTATCCGTAAACTAAATTGGGTATATAAATAGTTCATTTTTTATTATCTTAAGTTATTCGTATCATAGCAACCATTTTTCGTGCTAATTTTATTGCTATATTTGTCACATACCTCATGCCAGACTCAATAGAAACCCATAATCTGGAGGTTTTGTCACCAGTGGAGATAGACACTGTTATAACTACGAAATCCCGACTTCCAGAATTTGATCGTAGTGATCCTGAGTTGTGGTTTGCTCAACTAGAGCATTATTTCACGAGACACAATATCATATCTGAAGGGATTCGCTATAGAGACTTGTGTTCTATCCTTCCTCCTTCAGTCGCCAAAGAAGTCCGTGACCTGATTATAAGTCCACCATCACCACAACCATACACCATCTTAAGACGAGAGATAATGAACCGTTTATCATTATCAGACAGTCAAAGAATCCAAAGACTTTTTCAAGGAGAAACACTTGGTGATAGGTCGCCGTCACAGTTTTTACGTGACCTCCAAGTCTTAGTGGATGATAACACAATGGGTGAAGCAGTCCTAAAACAAGGATGGATACAAGCTCTCCCATGCTACATCCAACACCGTTTGGATGCACAAGATCCTGAAAC